CTAAAAACATGAACACTAGGTTAAATCCTCCAGCTCCGGTCCTGACCAAGCCGAGCATCAACATCTGGAGATGGGTTCCTGGGCGCTGTTACTACGGCGACCACTGCTCCTGACGTAAGCCTTAGTGGCATCAGGATGGGTCAAATGCAGAGGACAAATTTCAGTAAAGTGCACATTTACTGGTGAGCAGAGGAGCAGGTCGTAGTTCCCACAGGAGAAACTGAGCCTAAACTTCTGCTTCAGGTACATTTCTCTGTGAATATCTGCCTTATTAAGTCTTCAAGGATTTGTGTTTGTTTTTGAGGTTTTTGGATTTGTTTTTGTCGTGCAGCGATGGGAAGAAGTCTAAAACATTCATGAAATAAGTGATTCAAACAGATCTCTGCTTTTGTCTGTTTTTAGTATCAGATTCTGGTAAAACGAGAAACCCTTTTGTTCCCAATGTCGACTCATTCTGCCCCAAAATCATGGTTTCCGTGTTCTCCGACGCCGTCACGGTGAGGTCCGCACGAGGTAAGGGCAAGTTAAAAATACCACCGACCGAAAGAGACGGATGAGCTCAGAGTGACCCCGGGGACAGAGCGAGTCCCACAAGACCCAGTCCCACAAGACCCAGTCCCACAAGACCCAGTCCCACAAGACCAGAGGAAAACTGAGTCCAAAAGATCCAGAAGACCAGATATGTTTCATCTTGTTTCCCTTCCTTCACAGCCTCTGATGTGGCTCCATGTGTTTGTATTCAGTCCATTTTAGACTTAGACCAGATTCATGATGATTGATGGTACTGTTACTATGGCACCATGGCATGTTATACCTCATTTCAAAGCTTTTATTAAGAAAATTATTCTAAAATCTGAACCAATCATTGGCCTTTGTAAAAAAGAAAGAAAGCTGCCAAGTTATTATTATTAAGTTCAAAATACAATGTTTCTTCACTATTAACACGGTTGTATTGCACTGTTCAAATGTGTTTTTACAGTGTGCTCCACATGTTTATTATAAAAACATTACATAACCGTTAGTAAAACATGAGTTACCTTAAAGTTATGAGAAAACCTTTGTAACCTGTACCACAGTGGTCTTCCTGTAACCCTCAATCCTGCTCTCTCTGGTCTCTCTCTGGTCGGTCTCGCTCTGGTCCCTCTCTGGTCTCTCTCTGGGTTTCCTGTAGCCCTCAGTCTCCTCTGCAGCTGTATTTTACAATGTATGCACAGCTTTTGACAGCTGCAGCAGCTCAGACCTACATCCAACAAGTTTGACATCAGCCAAACTTCAGGCTGTTGGAAAAGTGTACAGTGTGATTTTTCTTACTGCAGGTTGATTTTAGAAGTTAAAACTCTGCGATAAATGAGGGACCACTGCACCATCATCAGGTTTATACATTCAACTGAGAAAACCACTTCAACCCTGGACCAAAGCAGTTTGACAGTCTACAGACCCCAAGGACTCACACAGTCCTGCTACAGACCCCAAGGACTCACACAGTCCTGCTACAGACCCCAGGGACTCACACAGTCCTGCTACAGACCCCAGGAACTCACAGTCCTGCTACAGACCCCTCAGACTCACACAGTCCTGCTACAGACCCCAGGGACTCACACAGTCCTGCTACAGACCCCAAGGACTCACACAGTCCTGCTACAGACCCCAGGGACTCACACAGACCTGCTACAGACCCCAGGGACTCACACAGTCCTGCTACAGACCCCAGGAACTCACAGTCCTGCTACAGACCCCTCAGACTCACACAGTCCTGCTACAGACCCCAGGGACTCACACAGTCCTGCTACAGACCCCAAGGACTCACACAGTCCTGCTACAGACCCCAGGGACTCACACAGACCTGCTACAGACCTCAGACTCACACAGTCCTGCTACAGACCCCAGGGACTCACACAGTCCTGCTACAGACCCCAGGGACTCACACAGTCCTGCTACAGACCCCAGGAACTCACAGTCCTGCTACAGACCCCTCAGACTCACACAGTCCTGCTACAGACCCCAGGGACTCACACAGTCCTGCTACAGACCCCAAGGACTCACACAGTCCTGCTACAGACCCCAGGGACTCACACAGACCTGCTACAGACCTCAGACTCACACAGTCCTGCTACAGACCCCAGGGACTCACACAGTCCTGCTACAGACCCCAGGGACTCACACAGTCCTGCTACAGACCCCAGGGACTCACACAGACCTGCTACAGACCCCAGGGACTCACACAGTCCTGCTACAGACCCCAGGGACTCACACAGTCCTGCTACAGACCCCAAGGACTCACACAGTCCTGCTACAGACCCCAGGGACTCACACAGACCTGCTACAGACCCCAGGGACTCACACAGACCTGCTACAGACCCCAGGGACTCACACAGACCTGCTACAGACCCCAGGGACTCACACAGACCTGCTACAGACCCCTCAGACTCACACAGACCTGCTACAGACCCCTCAGACTCACACAGACCTGCTACAGACCCCAGGGACTCACACAGACTAGCTTTGGTTCATAGAAATTCCATTTATTTGTTGTATTCAGCAAAAACTTGTGTCTTGACATTTGTTCAAAGCAGAAATCCTCCTGATGCTTGTTACATTTGGAACCTTCAGACCTCAGACCTCAGACCTCAGACCTCAGACCTCAGACTTCAGACTTCAGACTTCAGACTTCAGACTTCAGACTTCAGACCTCAGACCTCAGACCTCAGACTTCAGACCTCAGACTTCAGACTTCAGACTTCAGACCTCAGACCTCAGACCTCAGACCTCAGACCTCAGACCTCAGACCTCAGACTTCAGACTTCAGACTTCAGACTTCAGACTTCAGACCTCAGACTTCAGACTTCAGACTTCAGACCTCAGACCTCAGACCTCAGACTTCAGACCTCAGACTTCAGACTTCAGACCTCAGACCTCAGACCTCAGACTTCCAGTTTCTAAAGTTCTATGCTCAGTTTGATGCTGTTCTGTTTCATGATCCGTCGTGTTTTACTTTGGGGCATTTCTGTCCAAGAAACGGCAAATGAATGATTCTGGTTCTTCTGATTTGTCGCTGTGTGTTTAAAATGTGTGTGACCAGCAAAAATCTACAGAAACCTTTGGAATCTCATTATTCATGTTGAGAGAATGGCCAAGAAATTAAAAATATGTTTGTAAGTAAGTAATGTTTATTTATATACCGTCTTTCTTAGACCAGAGTCAAAGCGGTTTACAATTGTTATTTTTGGGCATTAGTCTGTGACTCCACACAGAGATGGGAGGGGCCAGGACAGGAGGCACAGACCTATTGTACATGTCTTTAGTGGTAGGGAAAACCGGAGCACCCGGAGGAAACCGGCACTCTCGCTTCTCAGCAAGAAGGTCCTGCAGGGTTCAAATCCCGGTCGGAACAGGGCCATTCTGTGTGGGGTTTGCATGTTCTCCCAGTGTCTGCATAGGTTTCCTCCGGGTGCTCCCCCCGCCTCTGTGTGGAGTGACACAACTGTAAACCGCTTTGACTCTGGTCTGAGAAAGGCGCTATATCAATAAACATTACTTACTCACTTAGACAAGGAGAGAACATGCAAACTCCACTCAGAAGGACCCGGTTCCGACCGGGATTCGAACCCAGGACCTTCTTGCTGAGAAGCTAGAAGCGCCCGACTTAAACTCATAACAGTTTCTTCATCTCTGGTTTGCTTTTGGGTCGAAGCAATTGTTGGAGGATAATCTTTAGAACAATGACCTTCTTTATGTCCAACGTCCCCAAAGGATTCTGGGTCGTCTCCATCAGAGCTGCACGGCACTGAGGTGAGAAGTATGGAAACAGCACTGTCCTCTCCTCCTTCCTACTTTATCTGTTTAGCATTGTTAGGATTTTGACTGTAGTTTGTTCATTTCTATTCACCCGTTGTCCCATTGTCTGTTTCATGGTACGATGACGGGATCTCTGAGCCTGGCCTGGGAGTGCTCCAGTCCTGCACCGGACCTGTCCACGCTCTGTAGCTTAGGTCCTGGATCTACAGTCTCAGTCCTCGTTCTACAGTCTGAGTCCTGGGTCTACAGCCTCAGTCCTCGTTCTACAGTCCGAGTCCTGGATCTACAGCCTCAGTCCTCGTTCTACAGTCTGAGTCCTGGATCTACAGCCTCAGTCCTCGTTCTACAGTCTGAGTCCTGGATCTACAGCCTCAGTCCTCGTTCTACAGTCTGAGTCCTGGATCTACAGCCTCAGTCCTCGTTCTACAGTCTGAGTCCTGGATCTACAGCCTGTCTGTCCTTGTGGAGTGGATCCCTGTCTCTATGGGTCTGAGGTTTCTCACTTTTTTCCCACTGGGTTTTTTAAGAGTTTTTCCTTGTGGATGCAGGAGGGTCTTGTTGGACAGTTAGTGTCCAACAGAAAGGATTGGTGATGATCAGGACACTTTAGCATTCTACAACATGTATGGACATTTTCTTCTGTGTGTGCTTTATATTCTTCATGTGTTTTAACTGTTGATTCTCTGATCTGTGTTGGTGATTTCAATGGTTTTGTTAAGTCTCTGAGATGGTGCTGTTGTGATTTAGGGAAATACAAGAATAAATTGTGTTGTGTTGAGACAGAGGTGAAACACTGGGACCACGTCGGACTCGGCACATTCTCCTCTCCCCAAAGACATTTTCCTTAATCAAAAAAATTGTCTTTGCGATGAAGGTCAAAAACATGTAAGAGTGAAAATTAGGCTTCAATGTTACTTTTGACAACCTTTGAGAAATATGAGGCTTCATTCTCATCGCGGGGATTTGTTTGACGATTTGTTTACGAGCAGTTTCTACAACTGCACAGGCCTCAGAGAGAGAGGACTCGGACTCTGACTCAGTGAAGATCATGGTTCTATAATAATATCTACAGTGTAATTGGTCCTTGCTGCGTGTGATCAGTCAGACACCCGTAGGTAAAACATTACAAACATGGATAAAATATAAGGGTTTTTGAGCTACCTCTACAAAAAGATAAAGTTATATATATTTACTCTTTAGTCTTAACACGCTGAGAGAAAAGTGACTAAAGCAGATGTCTTTCCGTAATGTGTGGATTGACTTTTCTTCATTTCCTCGGCGCAGATCAGACGTCCAGTTATCGCCTCGTTTGGAAAAGAAAGTCGCAGATAAAAGTCTTTCAGCTCTTCACGGCGAGCATGGAGTTGATCTCCCAGACCAGGTTTCTCAGCTGGTCCATGATCTGCTTCAGCTGCTGGTTCTTCTGCCGCAGCTTCTGAAACACACAACAACATCAGGAATGAGACTGAGTATGGAGGGATCAGAGGAAGACGGGGAGTGACCACACAACACTCTTTCATTAGCAGACATAAGAGAAAGAGTGAAAAAGAAAGAGAGGAAGAAGCTCAGTTGGTAGAGCACTGGTCTTTGTGGGTTCAATCCCACCATGACCCATGTCACCTGCTCCCACTGATGTCTGCTGTCAGTGTGTCTTTGAGCAAGACACTTAACCCCACTTTGCCTGAAGCCCCCGGGGAAAGACCAAGGCTGTGTCTTTGATGACAGAGCAGCCATCTTCCTGTGGACACACCCCCTGCAGAGGATCAGAGGGACTGGTGCTGTGAGACTTGGGGGCAGCTCTGATTACCCCATCCCAGAAAGGGATTAATAAAGGGCAAGAAAACGACATGTCATGACAGTATCTAATAATAATAATATTATTTGGCCAAAACTCATTCATTTTCTTCCCCTTTATTATTCCATTTCTGGGTCGGGGGGTGATCAGAGCTGCCCCAATGCTCACAGCACCAGTCCCTCTGATCCTCTGCAGGGGGTGGGTCCACGGGAAGATGGCCGCTCCGTCAGTGGTGCCACAGCCTTGGTGTTTCAGCGGGGGCTTCAGTCAAACGTTGGGTTAAGTGTCTTGCCCAAGGACACAACGACAGCAGACATCAGTGGGAGCAGTTGGAGCAGGTCCTGTGATGGGCTAGAACCCACGACCTTCCAGCCCAAAGGCCAATGCTCTACCGACTGAGCTACTGTCGCCCCTTTGGCCAAAACTTTTGTCATGAAATCACAAAACCCTCTCTATCCGTGGCTCTGCTGCAGATCTGTCACGGCCGTCAGAGTTTGACCTCATGGTTGTGAGACTTTACAACTTCAGCTGTAGTCTGTTTATTGCTATTCACCTGCTATCCCACTCTTTCATCTGCACCTGCGCACTGCTCTGCCCTGCACCGCGTCAGTCCTCGTTCTACAGTTTGACTCCTGCATCTAAAGCTGTTTTAAGTTTACAGATTGAGCATTTGGACAGAAAGGACGGAGGGATGTGTTTGTGACAATTTGGTCTAAACGTTTCTGACATTGCAGTGTACGCAACTGAGAAGCACGGGTCTGTTTTTTGTGAACAAATTTGCACGTAGTTCCTAAACTAAAGTGCTGAAAAATTTGGCTAAATGTGTCTTAAATTGAGCACATTGTGACTGCATTAATACAAGATTTGCCTGATGGTACAAAGCTTGTTTTAAAAAAAAATACACTAAATAACATGGAATGAGAAAATAAAACGGTTTTTGGAATAACAGTCAGAATGTGCTCACATTAAGATAAAAACCCTTGATTCAAGCATTTATTACCTCAGACTTTACCCTTTTTTAATAATTGTAATTTCCACTTGAGCCATTTCTTTCATCCCAACGAGACTAACCCGGCCTGTTGTGAAACCAAATCACTAACACACTTTGTTTCATGACGTCACTCGCAGAAAAGGTCGACAGTTCAAACAACAAACAGTTCATTTGGCCCAATCCGCACCTCGTAATCTGAGCCGGGCCACAGAGAAACATCTGGAACAAGAAGCATAAACATAAACACATTCAGTGACATCACAAAACCAGCCGCACTCGCCCCAAAAACGGACCATGTTCCACCAGAACCAACACCGGGTAAGATATTCACAACATAATGTTTGTGGGAGAGAATGTCCGGCGGGACTTCTTTGTGTTGTTTTTGTGTTGTTTTTGTGTTGTTGCGATCAGGTCTAAAACCTAAAACCTGAACCAGTGCGATGCTGCGAGACTTCCGAGGCTCATGGGAACTTTAAACAACCGGGATGAAACATAAGAAACACAATTTTTAACACGCAGTTGGAGATCTGAGCCTCAGGATAAAAACAAGAGGTTTTTTTGTTACGTAAAAAAAAAAGTTGTTTGAAAATGGACTTGAGAGAAAAGGGACAAACAATTATGATAATAATAGTATAATAATATTAGACCGGCCTCTTTCCTGCACAACCCATACAGCCTCAGTCCTGGGTCTACACTAGAGCCTTAGTCCTGGGTCTACAGCCTCAGTCCTGGGTCTACAGCCTCAGTCCTGGGTCTACAGCCTCAGTCCTGGGTCTACAGCCTCAGTCCTGGGTCTACAGCCTCAGTCCTGGATCTACAGCCTCAGTCCTGGGTCTACAGCCTCAGTCCTGGGTTTACAGCCTCAGTCGTGGGTCTACAGCCTCAGTCCTGGATCTACAGCCTCAGTCCTGGGTCTACA